GAGATCTGTCTAGATCTGGAAGGCCAATGACAGTGATAGAAAATGATAGGCAAAATGTTATGTTTAGCTGTCACTGAAAATCCACACACGTCGTCGTATCGCCGAAAACGCCAACATATCAATACATAAATAAGTACCTACAATCAACCAAAACACAAAATATCCACAAATTTCCATTTTTTGCTGTGGCACTGTTCTCGCATCAGTTTGTGATACCTACTTTTGTTGTTATTTTAAACCATGTCCATTACAGTCATTGGCTTTTTTTCACTCCTGTCAAAGTAAAGTAGGACAAACCCTATATCGACGTATTTCCCTTCAAAAGGACTATCCATTTATGCTTAAAAAATTAGGTAGTGCTATTTAAAAAAAAAATGTCCATGACGTCATAGGTTTATGAAACATAGAGCAAAAAAGGTTTAAGCAACGTGACAAAATGACAATTCCTATTTACTAATTGACTTGTTTTAGCGTTTTTGTGAAAACGCAACACAAAATAAAATACGAATTTTTTGCGTTACTGGTGCCGCCCCATTGTCCCAAGAAAAAAAAATGCCACTGGCGGCTTTTTGGAGAAATAATGTCAAATTCAGGTACTGTTAGGTTAAGTAAATAAAAAGTGTTCCAAATTGAGTTCAAGCATTACGATGGCAATATAAAAGACTGGTTGGGATTTTGTTCGCAGTTCAAAAAGGTTCATGAAGATCCCGACATAGATAATAGTGACAAAATAGAATATTTACTACAGGCAACAGTATCAGGAAGTAGGGCACGTCAACTTGTAGAAAGCTTCCCGGTAATGGGAGAAAATTATGAAAAAATTGTGGAGTGTATGCAAGCCAGATTTGATAGGGAGGATCTGCAAATTGAGGTACATGTTAGGGAGTTATTAAAATTAATTTTGAGTAATACAAGGTCACCTCAAAAGGTTGATATTTCTAAGCTTTATGACCAAATTGAAACACAGTTAAGGACACAGTAGGAATAACCTCTGATAAGTACGCAGCAATGTTGTTTCCTCTAATCGAGTCATGTCTACCTCAGGATCTTTTAAGAATCTGGCAGCATTCGTCATTCAGTTCTACTTCTAATAACACAGGTTCTGCAATATCTTTGACAGCGGATTCCACATTAGAACCTCATGAACTTTTTACAGGCTGAAGTAGAAAATGAACAAAAAATTTGCCTGAACAAGTGAAAGAAGACATCAATTATGGTCATTTTTTGCCACATAGACCAGTTCTTAAGGAAGGTTCTACGACTGCAATCAGGCCTGTATTTGATGCCTCAGCTCAAGAAGCAGGCAGTCCCTCATTAAATCAGTGTCTGGAGAAAGGACTGAATTTAATTGAATTGACACCTACATTGTTACTGAGACTTTGTATGTTCCAGATTGGAGTTATATCAGACATTACAAAGGCATTCTTACAAATTAGTATACACCAAAAAAATTGGGATTATTTAAGATTTCTTTAGTTTAATGAAGGCCAAGAAATTGTTTTCAGGCATCGACGAGTGGTATTCGGAGTCAATTGCAGTCCTCTTCTATTAGGTGCTACGATTGAGCATCATTTGATAAGATGTAAGGATGTGTGAAAATATGGATCCTGGATATTCTCGTGAAACCCTCGAAAAATTATCCAAGAGTTTCTATGTTGACAATTGTATTGCCAGTGTACCTAATGAACATGATTTAAATAAATTTATTCGAGAATCAATTTCAATAATGGCAGAAGGACAGTTCGACCTAAGAAGGTGGCAGTTTTCTGGAAATTCAGATGCTGATAATTATAATGTATCTGTTCTCGGACTAAGATGGTTTACGAAGCGAGACGTGTTCACAATCTGTGAAGATTTTTCGAAAATTTTCAATGAAGCAGTCACGAAGAGAACGATACTATCCATGACACAAAGAGTCTTCAACCCTATAGGTTTTACGGCACCCGTTACGTTAATGCCAAAGTTACTGTTACAAAGTTTATGGGAAAGTCAAGAGTAGCGCTGTTGAAAGGATTGACAATCCCACGCATGGATTTAATGGAAACAACGATAGCAGCCAGGCTTTACAAACATGTAATAGACACACTTAATGTCAAATTTGAGTTTTTTTTTAACCGATTCATCAACTGTAATAGCGTGGATACAGTGTAATGGAGAACATTCGTATGCAATCGAGTGACTGAAATCGTCAGTTAACACATGCACATCAGTGGTACCATGTTCCCGGAATATACAATCCTGCAGATCTTTCATCTCGAAGTTGTACGGCTAAGTAACTTTTGGACTCCAAATGGTGGGAGGGACCGAGTTGACTATATCAAAATAGATCAAATTGGCCGACCGAAAACCCAACAATTAATGAGGAAGAAATTGCGAACGAGCGCAAGAAAAAGTTAGTTGTAGCACTTGTAAATACAGCGTATTCAGATTTTTAGTATTTGTTCTCTTTCAGTAGTTTTATCAAAACTACAAGGATGATAGGTTGAATCTTTAGATTCATAAATAATGTGAAATATTCGGAAAAAAGCGTCCTTAACAGTTGAAGAGTTAAATGAAGCCGAAACTTTTGTCTTTAAATTAATTCAGAAAGAAAAATGTTCTGATCTTACTGATCAAAGAATTAATTGTTTAAACTCTTTTTACGATGAAGTGGGTATAATTCGACTGAAGTCTAGAGTGTCATACAGAGAAGATACCAATGACTACAGATCATTTTACCCGCAAAACATTTTTCTGTAGGATGTTTAATCATGTCTTATGGGACTGCAAGCTCTTCTCTCGCAATTGCGTGAAAAATGTTGGATATTGAGAGGTAGACGTACTATCAGAACAATTTTGCGAAGATGTACAATTTGCCGAAGATTCCAGTCGAAGTCATTTGTTGCCGAGCCACCTCCATTACCGGCAGACAGAGTACGAAGTAGTAAGGCTTTTGAAATAGTTGGAGCGGATTTTTGCCTGAAATCAGATGAAAAAGCATGGATCTGTTTATTCACTTATGAGGTATATCGAGCCGTTCATTTGGAATTGACTCTTATCACTGTCTACTACTGGCTTTCTACAAGTTCTTCGGCGATTTGTCACGCGCCATGGTAGGCCAAGGATAATTTATAGTGATAATGGAACAAACTTTAAGGGAGCGGAAAATGCGTTTGCAAATCTCAATTGGATAGACATTACTCGGGAAACGTCCATACAATGAATCGTTTGGGGTTTTAACCCCCCAAGTGTGGCGTGGTGGGAAGGATTTTCCGAAAGAATGATAGGTATAGTAAAGGAACTGCTTCGTCAGGACATGCTTGTCTTTACTATGAGGAGCTACTTACGTTGATCTGTGAGTATGAAGCGATCGTAAACTCCAGACCATTGACCCACATATCTAATGATCCCAATGATTTGGTAGCACTTACACCAGCCATGTTTTTATGAGAACAAACTGAATCTAGCATGCCCGATTGTGACAAAATAGACAAGAACTCGTTAACTCGGAGTGCGCGGAACAAATAAAAATTAAGAGAAGACCTGAAACGACAATTTAGGTTGGAATATCTTGGCCAATTAGCGTGTCGAATAGCCCCTAGGGCATATCACAGAACTTATTCCAGACGGACATACTCGATTGGTTCTAGTTAAAACTGCACGGGGTGAACTATTGAGACCTGTGCAGCGATTGTTTCCCACGCAGAGGAGAGTAATTTTAGTGCAGGAGTGTCTAAAAGCAGAGTACCCGATCAAAAAGTGAGTTTCACCCGAAGTGGTCGGTTGGTAAAATTACCTAGTCGGTATTTAGACTGAGAGAAACTTGTAAATTTATGTTTGTTACTTTTTATTTGTGAGAAACGTTTCTTAGCATTAACCGTTTCTCAGGTGGAAGAATGTCACATCTATGTATTAACCTTCACGTCCAATGTAAAAAGATTGTTGTCAAAAAAAAAGAAATGTCGTGGTTAATTAATAGTGTGCGATTTTGTCTGTAAAAAAAAAGGATAGTTGATATTCTGTTTTTATTGGAAAATAGTTACCAATATTGTTTTATGTATACAGGCTGTTCCTAAATAAGTGTCGCAACGGAAAACTGTAAATTCATCTTGAAAAGAGAAACATTTTTTTCTTCTTCCATTTTTCTCTCCCGGCTTTCGTTTTCGAGATACACGGGGTCAAAACTTTTTTTCAGATTTTTGCCAATAACTTAGCAACCGTTTGAACTACAGGACTGAGCTTTTGTACACACATTACCACTATTAATAGCTACTTGTTGCAAATGCTGTTAAATTTCGTTAAAATTGTTAACTATTACTACCCATCTTGTAAATTACAAAAGATTTTCGAAACGTTAGCAAAATGTTTGTTTTTGTTCATAAATAGTCATTTTTCTTGAAAACAGTTGACTTTAGATCAATGAACCAAGAGAACTCTTTTTGTGTAAAATTCATTGGCGCTTCAGAATTTGCTCTCAAATGTCAATTTTTCCAGTGGCGTAAAAGTTAGGGGGGAAAAACCCTTACGATATCTTAAAATCTCTACCACTGGGATGTTCAATGAATTCGAGAAGGGTGCGAAAAAGTAGCTATTAATAGTGGTAATGCGTGTACAAAAACTCAGTCCTGTAGTTCAAACAGTTCCTAAGATATTGGCAAAAAATTTTTAAAAAATGAATGTTATGACGTGTATCTCGAAAACGAAAGCCCGAAAAGAAAAATGGAAGAGGAAAAGAATGTTTCTTTTTTCAAGAGGAATTTACAGTTTTCCGTTGCGACACTTATTTAGGAACACCCTGTATATGTCTACCGAAGTTTGTCACTGGAGAATAAAAGTGATATAGAAGTTTTATCGTTATTATTACCTATTTTTACGAACCGTCTAGGCCGGGAACTGCGGGTAGTGTTCCAACGGTGAGACACAACATGTTTCACATACACAATCATTTTAAATTAATGGCAGGAAAATCACTCTCTTATATTTTAAATCATTTAGGAAACACGTTGCATACTTTTACTTACTTTTTTATCATCTAATGGAGTATTCACTCTAGTTTCTAAATATCCCATATAACCAAAGCATATTGCTATAGCAAGAACAACACATACTATAATTTGTTTCCAGTAACTGAATATACTAGTATTTTTTATTAATTTAGTATTTATGGGATTACTTCCATTACTACTACTGCTATTGGTTCCTTTATCGACTCTATTATTTTCAGAATTGACTTGGGACCTACGTTGTCGAACCATTATTCATTTATGTCAATTCTATGTTACTAAAAAGAAAAACATTTTAAAATGTTAATTTTTTTAATTAATTTACTTTTACCAAAATAAAACAAAACATATGTTTAACTTTAAACCAAGGCAACAGAAAAGTACAATTATACCTGAATATATTATTATTATTATTACATCTGTTACTGTTACTCCGACACTATTCCACCTACGTGTACATTTGTTGAGTGACTACGACTATTCTGTTTCTGTTCTCTATAAAAGATTCTAATCAGAAATATAATACTTTTTAGGTTATTTCAACTCAAACACTAAAATAAAAATCAATCTGGTGACAGTTCACTACAGAAATTTACGATTCTTACAACGAAAGCTAATTGTTGGCACCTAATCTATATCTTTAAATCTACTCTGAAAAGAATGTATTTCCATTAAAAAAAAATAAACAACACGAAGGAAGCCAATCATATCAGAAAATGTAATATGGAAAAACTTTTATTGGAGGCNGGGGATTATGTCATTGTCTGGCTCTCTGTCGACGCGTCGGGCCGCGCGCTCAGCCACTATCTCGAACTCCTCGTCTTCGTCGGGCAGTTGAGGCAGTCTACACTTCAGTTCCAGGCTGTCGGCGAAAGCCTCGGCCTTTTCCTGGTTCGTGTAAACCACCCCCACACTACCGTGGATTGGAGGAATCTTACGATGAGCGGTCTGTCGCAGGGCGCTCTGCGTTTTCCAGAGACTGTTGTCTTGTGGATCCAGCGACTCCAGGTGCCTAGCCCAGTTGTCCTGGGAGTTAGTAAATCCTTCAATTACAGAGCTATGGCAGTTAGATGTATTGGGGATTCAAGAACTCACAGAAAAGAAATCCAATGAGGAAATGGCGGCTGCAGTAAAAGATTTGTTTTTGCAAACGGTTACTGTGGATATGGAAGGAAGATATCAGGTCAGATTACCATGGTTGGATGGTTGGATCAAATTACAGTATCGCGAAGAAACGACTAGCGACAACGGTGCGCAAACTAGAAAAGGATAATTTGATTATGCCATGCAATGAAGTTTTTCGCGAATGGGAATCTCTAAAATTAATTGAACAAGTGAAAGAGGTCATCAATTATGGTCATTTTTTGCCACATAGACCAGTTCTTAAGGAAGGTTCTACGACTGCAATCAGACCTGTATTTGATGCCTCAGCTCAAGAAGCAGGCAGTCCCTCATTAAATCAGTGTCTGGAGATAGGACTGAATTTAATTGAATTGATACCTACATTGTTACTGAGATTTCGTATGTTCCAGATTGGAGTTATAATCAGACATTAAAAAGGCATTTTTACAAATTAGTATACACCAAAAAGATCGGGATTATTTAAGTTTTCTGTGGATTAATGAAGACGGCCAAGAAATTGTTTTCAAACATTGACGAGTGGTATTCGGAGTCAATTGCAGTCCTTTTCTATTAGGTGCTACGATTGAGCATCATTTGATAAGATGTAGGGATAAGTGTGAGAATATGGATCCTGGATATTCTCGTGAAACCCTCGAAAAATTATCCAAGAGTTTCTATGTTGACAATTGTATTGCCAGTGTACCTAATGAACATGATTTAAATAAATTTATTCGAGAATCAATTTCAATAATGGCAGAAGGACAGTTCGACCTAAGAGGGTGGGAGTTTTCTGGAAATTCAGATGCTGATAATTATAATGTATCTGTTCTCGGACTAAGATGGTTTACGAAGCGAGACGTGTTCACAATCTGTGAAGATTTTTTGAAAACTTCCAATGAAGCAGTTACGAAGAGAACGATACTATCCATGACACAAAAAGTCTTCGACCCTATAGGTTTTACGGCGCCTGTTACGTTAATGCCAAAGTTACTGTTACAAAGTTTATGGGAAAGACAGGTAGAAACTAAATATTTTATTTCAATAATAAAAATTCTTTTAATCCAGCCCCGACTATTCCGCTTAATCTGAGAGAGTAGCACGATTCCGTCTCACTTGGTTCTCGACCGCCACATCAAAGGCGCCGACACGGACTCTTCCAGCTGTATTAAGCTGTGATTTAAGCATGAACACTTTCTGTGATGCAAGTCAAAAGGCATATGCTGCAGCGATATTTTGCAGAGTAGTAGAGATCTTTTAATATCTCATGAGCCGCGAAATGCGCGAAAGGCGTGGCTTATTCGTATTATTCTTCTAATAAGGACGTTGTGAAAACATTGACTCAGAATTAGACCACGTGCCTCATTACAACTAGAAATGAACTAAGGCGCTCGGGCATCAATAAAGTCAACTGGCGAACGTTCATTATATAGGTATATTTTTATTATTTAAATTAAAATAATAAAGAATAGGGCATTTTATTATGATATTTGTAATCGGATCAAAGGCTTGTTTACGCTAGAGCTCGAGAGAGACTGTGAACAATAGGTTTCTCGTGAAACCCTCGAAAAATTATCCAAGAGTTTCTATGTTGACAATTGTATTGCCAGTGTACCTAATGAACATGATTTAGGTAAATTTATTC